GAGTCCCGCCGAAGTGGCATGCCCGGAATAGGCCGGTTTTTGAGTATTCGAGTTTTTGATCGCAGCTTGGCCGTCGGCGAGCAAAGACTATGCCAAACCGTTGATGCACCGCATCAAGTGTTAAGGTGAGCATTGTTTGTGCGGAGAGATCTCAGAGGTTTGATCGAATATCAAGTTAAGCTTGCCAGTGGCTCGGCTCAGAGATCATGTCATCAGCCAGTCTTGATAAGGCGACCCGCTTGTTTGCAAGGTATCATGATCATTGCCACGCAGAACCCCTTGAGTCAATGTGATTCCCAGTAACATGTTCGTCTCTCATTTGAACTTGGTTTAAGCTTGGAAGCATCTTAGATCCAGCCATGTCCAGTCTTGTGGACAGTTCTGCACACTTGACTCGTCGGTGCAAGGAGCTGGAGCTGTCTGAGTCGTGCAGCGTGGCCCTTGAAGGGCTTGGGCTGACAAGCCTGGGTCGTCTTGCGTATGCAGTAGGATCGCCAAGCGAAAGTGCATCTGAAGCNNCTCCATTGGTGACCGGTCGATCGTTAGGCGTCTCGTCACAGAAGCACAAACAATCGTTTGCGCGGAACTCAGAGAACAAGTCACGTCGAATTTGGACGCCGCCACGGTCAGGAAAGTGCCAGAGGCCGAACGGGAAGCTAGGATGTCGGAGCTTCGCCGCAGGTTGGTGGGGCTTCAGCTTGAAGGGGCCAATGAACCGTCTCATCATTTACTTGACCTTTGTGCGGCACAGGAGCGCTCCGGGCAACTTGTGCACATTGAACCATCGAAGTGCACGAGTCGCATTCATGAGGTGACACACCATAAACCTCAGAGTCAAGCTGTGCATGTTGAATCCCAGAAACTTGTTTTGAAGCCTGGTGAGTCGGTGCCTGAGATCAACCCTTCATCAGCTCTCCAGGCGCTTGAAGCTCTTCGTCGCCGCGGCATTGCCATGACCTTTGCCGGTTCAGTGTCTTACCCGGGGTACGACAGATACCTGAACAAACTATTCAGCCATCTTTCACGTGATCCTCCCCCAGGTATGGCTCGGATTACTGTCAGCCAAATTGTTGCCGCTGACAAGCAAGTCTTCGTGCGGCTCATCGAAGCTGGCATCCGTCCGAAGCGTGGAGATGACCAGTCATTTCCCATGGATGCTGCACTCATGGCTGCCCTTGAGTCGTATGAGGTCAGCTTCTTGTTGCTGCATGGTGCCGTAACTAAGCCCCCGAAGCGTCCCCCACCTCGGTTAACTCGTGGAGGCCAGAAGGATGATGATCCCAAGAAGCCCCGAAAGGGGAATGGCAAAGGCGGGCAAGAGACAGGTTCAGGGGGTTTTAGGGTCCCTAAGGCCATCATGGACTTAGGCGGTCAAGCCATGACCCCTGATGGGTCCGAGTGCTGCTATGGTTATAATCTTGGCAAGTGCAATGTAAAGGGTTGTAAGCGCAAACATGTTTGCTGCAAGTGTTTCGGTTCGCACCCCATCACGGAGTGCAAGGCCTGACCAGCAAGGGGGCGAGGGGTTACTGCAGATCTCTCGTCCCCATCTTCCCCCGAGGCCGCCTGTACGGCCACAGGTGATGCTGAGAATTTTTGCATGAGTTGTCCACCTGTCATCAATCCAAAGTTGTTCGCAACTCTGTGTGGTGAGTGTGACTTTGATCTTTTTACCAGCGATGAGCCTGCCGAGCTTCTGTCGGTCGGTGTTCTTGAATCCAAGGTTTTTGATTACAGCTTTTTCGACGAACTGTTCCAGTTGTTGCCTGCAGAGGTGCCGGCGCGATCTTCTATCCGTGACCCAAGCATCCACACTTTCACTACAGGTGCTTATGTGCGTGGCGGGGTTCATGGTACTAGGTGTAACTTCGACAACTTCCCAGCGACTTCGGCCATTTTGGCAATCTTGCTTCGTTGTGCATGCCCTGAGGCGACCTTCACGAGCATTGCTTTGCTTCGTAATCAATCGGCCCATCTTCATCGCGACTTGAATAATGCTCTGGATTCTGTAAATTGGGCTGTGCCACTCACTGTCTTTGGTGCAGGTGGCATATGGGTGGCAGGACTTGGTGATGAAGTGTGCCCGCAGCCCCTTGATGACGTTCCCGTGGGCCTGGGCGGTGTCCTTTCCTTTGCACACGGCCCTCTCTCGTTTGACAGCCATCAGTGGCACTGCACAGCACCGTGGACGGGGGATAGGAAACTTTTAGTCGGGTTTACTGTTAAAGGGTTTCTTGATTTCTCGCCAACCTTAGTTCGAAGGTTGGGCGCTGGGCTCATTCAGCTTCCACCTTCAGCTACAGCAGATGTCTTTGAAGTACATGAAAGCCATCCTTATCCAGTTCTGATCGAGCTTTGTTCGGGTCTGGGCCGACTCACTGCCCATGCTCGCAATCATGGTGCTCCAGGTTCGATTGCTGTTGACTTCACGGCGGCACCTGATGCGGCTACGGTGCCTTTGCAGCTTGATCTCGCTGAGGCCTCGTCCCTTGTGTGCGAGTGGCTCTCTTCGCCACATGTTACCTGCATCCATGCCGCCCCGCCGTGTGACATGTCGTTTGAGCTGCCTCGCCACCATCGTGCAACGTGCTCTCGCTCAGGACCTTCTTGTTTCAATTGAGTTGCCCCCTGATGATTCCTTTTGGGCATCCGCCAATGGTGTTGCCGTGGCACAAGCTTGTCCTTTCTCGTGGCAGGTTCACTTGTGTGCCTTCGGCGGTGCATGTGTCTCAACTTCGCTCCACAGCAATTGCGACGTCTTCGGTTCCTTGAGCCGCCCTTGCCCATGCAAGTCCGTCTCGGTTGAGCCTTGCTTAGCTCGGGTTTATCCATGGGAGTTTGCTCAGGGTTACTTCTCGTGTTTGCGCATTTCCGCGGCTGCTGCTCCTGCCTCGGCCACTGCCAGGGCAGCCACGCTCGCGCAGCCGCGTGCTTCAGTTTTTCCTTCACTCGTTTCCGAGCACCAGCAGGTGGTTGTTGCCACGCTTCCTTTGGCGCTTGCGCCATATT